ACATGGTCACCAATTCTGCACAGCCTCTTGACTTCATCAACAAATGCGACAAAGGTGGCTTGCTAAAGTGGAGTCCTTGAGCCTACCACATGATGTTTAACACAAGAATTGTACCTTAATGGACAACTGTCAACTCATATAGTGAAAGGCTACCATGAGTTGCTGTTCCTAAAATATTGTCCCAGCCTTGCAATTGAACTGGGCTTGGCCTCTGACTTAATAGTTAATTGAGGAACATGCAAAACCGATAGACTACAGATTGTTGTTAAATACAGTTCTGCTGCTGTTGGTGGGCACAGTGCCTCATGGATGCCCAGCTTTTACCTGCTGGATTTGTTCTTATTTTATGATGCTGTCTCACAACTCAGTGGTGAGTAGCCTCAGTACGAAGACAGAATTTTGTCTCCACATGGACTATGCAGTGATCCCTGTTACCAGTACTTTAATAGAGATATGCAGCTGCAACAAAATGATGAAGTCAAGCAGATTTATCCCTCTTATTGGTCCTCCAACAACTGCTGCATGTCTTGTATAGCATACAAGTCCTTCAGGATTCAGCCACATTGGTCAGTGATAGTGTTACGTGGTCACTATTAGTAATGGATATTTATGTTGACACCAGAAGTAAATTCTCTGCCCCTCCTTGATTTTTCCAAGTTGTGTTCAACTTGGAGGAATATTGAAGGAGAGCAGTAGATGGTAACATGCAGGTTTCCTTGCCCATGTTGACCTGATGCAGTAGGACTTCATGGGTTCCTATGTCAACTTTGAGGTCTCCTAGGGCAGCACCCTCCTGAGTGTGTACTATACAGTTGGCAGCTTAGGTGTGTGACCTCCAGGTGGGCAGGACATTTTCAGCGATGGTGATGGAGAGAATATTGGCTGTTAGGTATAATCGGGTGACTGTGTCAAGCTGTTGCATAATTAGTCCATGTGACGGCTTTGCAGATGTTGATGAGGAGGTCTTTGAGAGGTGAACTGGGCAGAATTTAACTTAGCAACCTAGATAGTGGAACAGACTCCCAGAACATCCATCCATTTTGTAAAATATAATTTTTCTTTATCGTTTAGGAAGAAGCTGAGTGTTTTCCAAGACCATTCAAGAATTAATCATGTTAATGTAAATTTACAGACTGGCTACGAGTGTCAGATTTCCTTCCCTAAAGCACTTGTTTGGACCTCTGGCTTAATAGACCAGTAATATTACTACATTGTTACCATTTCAACAAAGTTCTGGAACATGTCTCTTAAACCAAAGGAATCAAGTAATGTTCAAGAGTGTTTTTGTATCAGCTTAGCTCAGTAGATTGCAGTGTTATCTCCAAGTCAGCCAGTGATGAATTGAAACATCTTTCCAAGGCTCAAACACAAGGTTTAACTTCAGTATTGTGCTGGAAAAATGCTGTAACATTAGAGGTCCTGACTCTGGATAAGATGTTTAACTGGGTGCCATGTCTGCCTGCAACAAACACAAAGTTATGGAGAAACTCAGGTCTGGGAGCATCTGTGGAGAGAGAAACAAAGTTAACGTTTCAAATCCAGTATGACTCTTCGGATTTGAAACGTTAACTTTGTTTCTCTCTCCACAGATGCTGCCAGACCTTCTAGATTTCTCCATTTTCTATGCTTCTTTCAGATTTCCAGCATC